TATACCGATTTCACAACAAGAACTCAAATTTCTAAGTCTAGGTTCCCTTTTACGATTGTGACGCGAAAGCCCCTACCTTCTCTCTTCCCCTCAGCACCATGCTTCAACCAAAAGCCCTGACAAGCAGCCTCAAGGCGAGACAATAGGGATTCTCCACACTACCGTGGGACTTCACTCGAGCATTATCCGGTCTAGTGAGTCCTTTAACCATGAAGAATATGCACCTGATTCCATCTGTTTATTAGGCCCTTCTAGACTTTACTGATGTGCCGAATGGCGCCAAGCTTTCACGGATCAGTAAATCTAATACTAAAAGGGAAAATACCATGAAGGAAATGGCGCTTGGATTGTAGCAGGTTAAGTTGTCTAAGCTTATCCAGGGAATGAATAATGCATAGCTTTATTCAGGGAAATCTAAAGAGAGTCATGAGGAGATTGAGTAGCGTAGTATCATCAATGCGAGGAAATGGGCAGGTATCACTCATGTATAATCCAGGCTATCAAATGCTTCTATCTCTATATATAATGGGTCAGCGCGTAAGAGGTTTTCTCTCCACACGTCGTCTTCTTCACTTATTCTTTTCTATACATATGTTTATCCATCTCTTCTTCGGGAAGACCATCTATCCATTTTCCAACTCTTCATCAGCAAGACCCACGTGTAACATCTACCGCAACTATTTGCCTACTCGTTTCTTCCCAGAGAAGATCTGCCACCCCTTTGACCCATTTATTATCTTCACTTACCATCTAGAACTTTACTAGACCATCTAACGCACCCCGTGGAATACCGTCCAAACCTCATCCCGGAGACAAGCTCATTCAGCAATAAGCCCGTAATAATGGCACGGAAATGAGAGTGACTCTCAATCTACGTCAAGAGGCTCTCATAACCCGAAAAGATTCATCGCCTCATATCTCTCTTTTTCCAGCGTTTATATAGCCTAGTACCTTAATATTATTCCGTAGGGCTTTAGTCATCAGGGAGGGCATAATATCCTCAGAACACCCCTACTTGCTTAATAGTTTTAGGTCTAATTATTGTTGCGAATACTCTTAATAGGGTGCACATTTTTGAAAAGTAAGATAATTGTGCTCATGGGCTGCAGATTTTGTCATGTAGAGACATGATTCATTCATGAGTTGGTATTGCTCAAACAATCATAACTATATCACAACGTCATGTACAGACATGATTCATTGTTTGTACCTGTTGTATCAACCATGACTATGTCTCAGTGATAGGAGAACCATCATTGACTAGTTACTAGAAACCTAGTCAGGGTCCTAAACACACAACTGAGACTAGGAGAATTTTACTGAGTAAGTAATTATTCTGATGAACTAGGTCTAGAGGAACATAATCTGGTTGCTTGGCTCGAGGTAAATGAACCTGAGTAAATCATGTATAATAAATAATATAGAAATCTATCTCAATCACAATCATCATCTTAATTCATGTTACCATCGATAGCTGCAAAGGATAGTTTAACCATCTCCTTATAAGTTTTGCTTTTCGTGTGAGATTTCATATAGAGGAATATCAGTTGTTCAAATGTGATCTCTTTATAGCTGCAAGTCTATTCGTAGTTTGCATGTTTTGATAAATTATCTTTGACTCTGCAGCGCTAATGAGATTCCAGCGATTTACCCCTGGTCCAACATATCGAACGGGAATCCTTAGCACCTAGGCTGTATCATATAGAATCATCCGCCTATTAAGTTGCGACCAAATCTCTACTCTGCGGGAATCGTTCACGAGCAGATTGGTAGAATATCACTCCAGCAGATGTTCAGTCATAATTTTCCTACGGACGGCAAGAATAGAATTAAAGTCACTACTTAGTCTTTGATTATGAAGGACTGAAGCGAGGTATAAAGTCGGTACGGCGATACGAGTTTTCGAATAATGAAAAGTCTATAATAGAGTTCCTGTTGTGATTCAATTACTCTGCTGCAAGCGCACCACGTTCATCCTCCCAACATCAATCCACCACTTGTCGAGTTTGAGCTTCTTGGGTGATGGGAGGTTAATCCATGCTACATGAGCGAATAACTTCAAAGTGTCACTGAGATGGCGACATACTGCTCCGTTTTACGATATCTTCCACAAGTCAATCGGCAATCGATACGGGATGCGCTCGATCCGGTCGAAACTTCTAGGCAGTAAAGTAGAGCCGCAGGTACATCTGGTTGTATCCGCAGTGTGAACATGCTGCTGTCGAACTTAGAGGAAGTGAATTTGGTGTCAACTGGGAATATCTAGCAACTGAATAAACTGATCTCAAATCCCTCGCGATCAGAGTATGTAATGAGCAGAGGCGCATGTGCGGCGGTTCAGTAACTTTCAGGCAGCGGGTTGACCTCGAACCCAATCTCGTGACCTCGTATGGCGCCTTAGATCAAGATGTCTACAACGGTGACGATATCGGCAACCTGATAAACACTGGTGGGACTGTGAAGAGAGCTGCTGTATCAGGGCAAATTATCTGACTGTTGGTCTGATGGCGAGTGGGCGATGTTGATCGCTGATACCGTGAGGTGGCCCAATCAGCCCTTCATTATTCATAAAGAAACGCACGAGCGTGGGGCATAAAAGTAGCGCAAGCATAGGGAGTGGAACATGACAATAGAGGATCTGGCAACGAGATTAGCCTCGACTGATTAAAGCGCGCTACGGAGCATAAGTAGGCGCCTTCCGGTGGCGGCGACCGCTTACCCGAGCCTGAACCTGCCTCAACTGACTCTGCCCAAGATTGGCGCGCTCCTGGCCTATTTCCGACGTGGCTCGTCGCCTCGAGCGGCTCGGACACCTAGGCCTCTAGTACTCCGCAACGCGGCCTCGACGCGTTGAGCGCGTCAGTCTGCGATAAGGGCAGGAAGACGTCTGTTCCAGCGGAGGCCGTGGCGCCGCAAACGGGGATGAAAGGGAGGAACAGGTCTTCGAGATATTCAAGAGTGCCAACTGGTGGACGACGTAAGCGGGATATGGTGAGGAACGGCAGCGGATGGGGCCATTGCTTATCCCTAACATCCCCACAAGCCCGACGCCAGGCTTGAGAAGTGGGGTGGCTGGTCTTGCCTGGGGGGATCGTCGTTCGGCAGGACGACGTTAATTATAGACGGCGTAGGCCCGATTAGTCATGGTTTGCCCGCAGACGGCAGGGCTGGGATGCGCATGTCCCGCGCGCAACGCGGACTCGGTGGAGGCGGCACTGATCGACTTGACGGAGAGGTGGGTCCGTCGGCGACAATCCTCCCACCGGGTCTCACATTAATAGCTCTCATGCCCTGAATCTCTGTCGCGCTGGCGATCCAGCCTCACACTACCCAGCGGAGCGCGCGGCTCAGCTTCGCCAGGCGCCCGGGCCCATGTCCGTCATTCCAGTATCCAGGATCCCGGCCAAAGGCTACTGGGCTCCCTGTCGCCGCCCGGCCAGACAAAGGGAAAGAAGACGCTGTGGACCTCGATTCGATCCCTCCACTTCGAGCTACTTATCCCCCGGAAGTTCTAGTGCCAGGGGCCGGCAGCGCTCGCGACAAACTACTGCACGCCCCGCTCCCGCTCCCTGGTCGTCGGGCCTCGCGTTGCACCGACGCGCCATCGGGGCGGGCCGGAGACGCGTCGGGGCAAACGAGGCCAAGGGGATCCGGTATGGGGGACGTCGGGCATCCTGGCCGTCAGGAACAGGGGCTGCCGAAGTCCCTTAGTCCCTCTATGCCGCCGTGTGGAGGTAGTTTTTGCCATGGACCAGCGTTTGCACGGCCACCGTCGCCTATCGAGCTTGTCAGATATCAAGAGCCGCCCCGCTTCTCGACCTGAGTGCATCGAGAAGCCTTCTATCAAGCCGTAACAGGCACCGAGCAAACTGAATCCTCCTGCACTTCGCCCACCAAACCCTCAGCGGGGTACATGCGCCGAGGCAGGCTTAATGTTTTCCAGAAGCATCGAAAGCCTCCACTTATGCCACTGCTTTGTTTGGCATAAGCTTGGGACCTTGGCCGCCTCGCTCCTCACGTATTGTCTCCTCGATACGTGGGACTGCAGCAGCGCAAAGTAGCATGTCCAACGTCTACCCTACACCATATCCTGAAGACCGAGAGATTTTAGTCCACTTTTGAGCTTCCACGATTGCCCCAAGTCGGCGACAAATCTATCTATAGCCTACCAGTCTTACTTAAGGCGAAAACTACACGAAGAGACATCTCGATGCCAGATTGAAATTCCCAGATCACTCGAATAGTTAATAGATGCTGATGGGCCTTCACTGTGCAAAGCTTTCGTTATTTAAGAGTTAAGAGCAAATACGAAGAGCCGTGATCCACGCGGACGCCAAGTACTAATGCCGTTGGTCTAGCAACAATGCTGGGAGGTGCTCTATAACACCCCACTCGAAAAGGTCAAGGGCCGTTGGATCAAAGAGAACCAGGAGAATTGAGTGCCCATAAAGCTTCCATCCCTTGCTGGAGGCTACAAATTACCTAAATTTAAGGGGTTGATCAAGGCTAGCACTCGTCTCTGACTATACTGGCCCCCCTGCTCCCGTTCAACTTCTATTAACCTGTAACAATTAATCTAAAGACGGGGAACGAGGTAATATGTTACATGGTCCTGATTAATTTTAAATGCTCTAGTTCTTGTATCATTAGTCTCCCTCAACCTCTTGGTAGCTTCAACAACCAATGTTCGGTGCTAGTCCATCCCTCAGTCCTGCTTTTTGAGCCCGGCTAAATTGTTCCCGGCGGATAGAGCAAGTGAGGACTGAAAAATTGTAGTATTATTTCCGCCATGTCAGACTCAGATCATGTTTCTGGTGTGCTTAGTAAATCTTGTGGAGAAGATACACATGCAACATCGTCTGTAAGCTAGCATCTCTATCCCTTCTTAGCATACCAGCCACTATAAAATACAAGTGTTTGTCGCAATCGGAAAATCTTCAGCCTGTTCAATGCGCCTTAATCAAAGACAGGGTTCATGATAGGCGCTACGTCTTCTCGTCTTATGGCGCAGAATCTGAATTGGGCGTGCATCGTTGAAGATCGATAGGGGAAAAGGGGATTTGAATACTGATGGGAGTAGGGTATCCCGTCGTCGAGACCTGATTCATATCGGACATGTCCATGGTAGGAGAAGAGTATTTCTCAGGATATAGAGCTTCGTGAATAGACGTGCCATAAGCTTCTTGTGGTTGGTTCAAAGTGAGGTGTTGCGAGCCGTAAGCTAAATGTGACGACGAAAGGGTGACTTGGTTACTATTCGCGTGCGTAAGGTATGGATGCGACAAGCTGTTTTCTTCTTGAATACCCTCTATATTGTGCGTTCGGAGGGTTGGGAGATATGCATAGTCAGGATCATGCTGGTAATTGCCAAAAACTTGCGATGTATAGTTATCAGACGAGCGAACAAATTGGGGCATAATGGCTGGCCTATTTGCCGATGGGTCCGGGAGTTGTCGAATATTATCACCAGCCATTCTCATATTAGAAGCCGGAAATGGACATATTCCACTCATCGGTCGAGCTTTATTGTCAATGGTATAACTGTGGTTCTGGTATTCAGCAGCTACCGCAGGATTGTCAGGACCTGCACCAGAAACACCGAGGAATGTTGGCATCCGAGAGTACTGGAGCGCAGGAGCTACATTTGACGTTGAATTCCAGCCACGTAGATTTGGACTTGAATAGTCGGATGAATATTGTTCAAGCGATAGTGCACACGTGGGCGACGTCTGCATGCCGTACTCAAGGTTCTGGACGGGAAAGTCGTAAGGTGTATTCATTTCGTACATGGAATTAGTCTTTACATGGTACGGGAGTGTTGATGGAAGTGAAGTTGGTGCCGAATTACTAATTGAAGATTGTATTGGCGATGGCATCGGAGATTGCATTAAAGGTTGGAGCGAGGGCTGTATCGACTGGCTGCGATAGGAGTATGGATCAAAGGATAGAGGTCCCTGTACACTACACATCTGCGGCGGACAATATGAATTGGAATTCCGACATGACAAGCGATTATTGACGGTCGGTTCATAGTCTATGGGTATGGGAGCAACATCGCTCTTCATCGTTGTCAACTGTGATGAAACCTGATAAGGATCAGCCAGAGGGAGACTACGGAGCCAAGACTTGGCTCCAGTTGAAGAATACCCTGAGAAATTGACAAATCTCGTTTCCCGATATCTTGCAGTTTGCGCATGGTCCTCCATTGCCAGGGTCACCACTGCATCGGATTTTGCGCTTCCGACATCGACCACACTGTTAAGTTCAGCAATAGGCTCGTTTTGTTTGCTTCAAAGTTGCAACTTACCGCAATGGGAATCCTTCGCCGTGTTGTGGTTGTAGGATCGCTACTCTTATTGTCCCGGCTATTTTTAGATACGTGAAACTGAGATTTCGAGCTGTTGTAGGTGCTCGGAGTCTTTTTGGATACTTCTATCTGTTCATAGCTCATTGGATACGTATTTCTACGAGGATTTGGATTACGATCAGGACAGGAGCCGTCCTCAATATACGACGATCGCGTAATCATCTAAGGTAATGTGAGTTTGTGGATAAATTTATCCCGAAGCCGGGCGCTGAGGGCTTGACTCACTTTTCTACCTCTCTGTTGTGGGGGGACCGCCATGGTTATGCTGCAAAGACCTTGAATTGATAATATCTATAGAAATGGAATGATGTAGAATAGGCTTAGAGATTGAAGATAACGTTACGTGCCTAGAATATATAGCAAAAGCCGACCTGAATAGGTTTAAAATAGAAGCTCTTATTGAATTACCCTGTGGAGGGGTTGAGGTTACTTTAGGAGATTGTACAACTTAACTGGAATATCTCTGACAAACACACCACTCATATGGATATGACAAGTTCATTGGGTATACATAACTTCGAATCATCCTCTACCGTGTTTCTTGGGTCATGTAATAAGACTAGCTTTCTACAAGAGCCCATCGGAAACTTGCATTCAGATATGTCATGTAGAGACATGGCCCTATAGCGCGATCATGCCACCGCTAATCTGCACAAAGTTCAGCCAAAGCTAAGGTACTTGCCTGCTGGCGAAGGGTATGCGACGAATTCCGATCACTGACGGTCTAGAGCAGGGCAAGCATCTTGACGAATATCTATTAAGCTGACTCATTTGGGTAGATCGAAGGCCCTAACTCAAGCTGGCAAAAATGGCCCAACTTTTTATTCCCTGTGAGAGGCATCACCAGACTATCTAGGTATGTGAAACGTAGAATCTACTACACATTAGGACAGCTCGTAATCATGCTTATACCATGTACACCAAACTTGAACTATTATTTTTGGCACCGTCTCTTTTCTTATCAGAGATTTCTCCATTAGATATCTTTATTTAGTAAGAAGCTAATCATTCAAAAGATCTAGATGTCGATGAAAGTGATATAAAATCAGATATTATTTGGTGTCGGTTTTAACTAGGACAAAAACAAATCTTTTATCATTGGAGCTCTCAACGGTGTGGTGCTACTAAGTACAGGCACCATAGTATATGACAATATCGTAGCTGCTACTAGGCCAAGAAGCTCTGACAAACGCAGTTGAGTCCAGTCCTCTTCTCTCAGTTGGCCTGAGTGAGCCCGCAGTACCCCCTCATTGACGGCAGTTCAACAGGGGCCAGTTCCGATCCAGACATGATTGCGCATCGCGCTTGTAAGCCCAAACGACCGAGCTGAGTGGTCACACTTCCATGATAACTTGGGTCTAACTCCGTATGAGCGACATACTCGAGCCTTATCTTAGTGAAGAATAGCAAAGAAAACAATCCCAACCCACTGGCAAGCAAAGAGCAATAAAAAATGCCTGATTTTCACCATCTGCAAGCTACGGCCAATCAGGTGTGTGAATCATAATTCTCGTGTTTGTTTGGAACGTTGCGAGGCTAACCCAGCCACACTCCCACGGCAATGTTCGATATAATTTAATCTGTATCGACGTAAATGTTGTAGAACGTAACTGCAGAAAGGCTGTTGTCTCAGAATTGCAAGCATTCCACAATTTATTTTGGATCGAGGATCTCGATAACCGAGCCAATCCAGTCCCCAGAAATTACTGCGTGGTGCGACGTCCACATTTTTAAAATTTAGCCGACAGTAGCATACGGCCGTTTTCACTGTTGCATAGACTGTAATAGCTTGTCGGTTTCATTGTTATTATCTATAGGGAGATAGCAGATATAGCGGATGTTGACTCAATTTTAAGATTAGTTCCAAACGCAAATTATTTTTTGGAGCTAACAGCATTCGGTGAGTGAAAGCCCCACGTTTGACGCGACGAGACGCGTGATGACCTAGCTTTCGCTGTTCATTCGAGATACTAGATCTGCGGAGGGTATGGAAGAAGCATACCAACTCACGCTTATTTCTGCAGCTTTTAATTTGAGGTAAATTCAAAACTCAGCGCTTCTTGTAGTGGAAACTAGATATCGTACATCAACACTCCCCGGCGCTAGGAACAGGTCATCTATGCAGACAGCGGTAACAGTACTACTGCATAATTTGCACAGAAAATCGAAAAGGGGTTTCAAACGTTACTAAAGATTCGTTCGGCTTGCCGAGAAGGGAGAGATCTAGAGCATGAGACCGACGACGAGGAATAAAGGCAGAGATACCAGTGTCAGCAACTCGAAGCGGCGCATGCAGGTCCATCTAACCTATTAGGATGTAGATATCCATGGATTGGCAAGAGTAACCTGGAGCGGAAAGCCAATAACTGAGAAAAGACATGCCAACGATTTTTGAATAAGCTTTTCCAGGATGACGAAAGTAGCGTTTTACTCCTCAAATCTCTCCTGATAATAGTTTGCTAGACCTTGAGATTCGGATGTCGATAGATTAACCGTCTGACTACTGTAGAAAAGCCTGTCTATCCTCAGCCTCCTTCAGAAATCTAAGATTTCTTGTGAAACTAATCTTTGGTAGTGTCACAATGAGTCGTATCAGGCATAATAGTACTATGACCTCATGCTCTTCGACGGCGACTGTAAATCCCCCAAGATGTACATCTTCGTGAGAATTCCTGGCTGCATGTACTCGTCGGACATCATATTTTTGATCTCTCTACCTCTGATTATTTCCATAATAGTGAATAGAGATACTGCCAGCGGAATACAGCTAGGGGTTTTTCGATCACATTGTCTCAATACAGGCTGGTAGTTGGCTGCCTTGTTCGTTCCATGTGCATATAGATCTCAAAGCAAGTTCATCGAGCTCAAAGAAGCAGCAGAAAGGGGCCCTAAACTCATTCTGAAGCCCATCTACTTGGTTGATGTTGGCAATAGGTTTGTCCCGTCTGACTTTGGAAAAGGTGCGAGATAAGGCGTAAGCCGAAGTTCCCAAAGGTGGCACAGAGTCGAAGCAGGTAGAATTATCAGCTTGTGTAGCAGTCGCAGTCGAGGATAAAATTCTTACTGAAATGACAAAGATTAATCGCCCCACCTTGAAGCTCAAGTTTGTGACGCCTCGAAACGGGTGATGTGACACCGGAGCCAGCGCGTTAACAAACGAAAAACGCTAGGGATTCCGTTAGCTTCGAGTTTAATCGTTGTTCAATGTCAGCCTAGTACCATTTATCTTAGTTCAAGTAACATGTCACTTTTGCCATCCTAGTGACGCGACCTAAAGCAAATGGCTTGAAGGTAAATTCACCTTTACACTTGACTTGGCTACATTGGTGAGCTTTTCAAAAGTCCCACGAGGTCACTGAATTATCTACTATCCTTTTAACCTTAATAGGCTTACTATCATATCAACCCGGAAGGATTTATCAGTCATTGAGTGGTGTGAATAAAATGAAGAATTCACATTGTAATGAAAATGGGCCTAGTCACGTTATGAGAAGCAAAGTTGATCCGATGAAAACAAAGACCGGGGTCCGCGCTCTTCCAAGGGTTTGACGAGAGTTACTATTTACAATCCGTCCCAGCCTCAATAATATAGTGCAACAACTCGCGCTTCAGTAGCAGATACGATCCAAGAGTCAAATCTAGGATTTAGATTACTTGCAAGTGATAATGGCGGTCCTGTTGGAGACTTCGGCTGGCGATATAGTTATTGATCTCAAGGTCACGGAAGCACCCAAGCTTTGCGAGAAGTAAGCCAATTCCAGTTCAAATGATTATCAGAAGTAACAGAGCAGTTAGAATACTAAGATCTCACTAGCTTTCTAAAGCTCTGCAAGACCAAATACTACAACTTTTCGCCAATATATGGCGTTCAAAAAGGCTTTTCTTTCCAAACAGGTGATCCCCTCGGCCCGGATTCAGATGAAAGTGATGGAGGAAGCTCAATATGGGGGCTTATTAATGGGCCAGCTATGCGAACATTCAATGTAGATTTCAACCCACATCTAAAACATTTGGAAAGAGGAACTGTTAGTATGGCGACGGCAGTATCTACAAAGGACCCCGATAAACGAGTAGCAGGAAGTCAATTTATCATCACACTGGGCGATAGCTTAGATTATCTCGATGGCAAGGCAGCCATTTTTGGCTCTGTCGCGGAAGGATTTGATGCCCTAGAGAAAATAAATGATTCGTTCTGCGACGAAAAGGGACGACCTCTCGTAGATATTAGGCTTAAGCATACAATCATCATTGAGGACCCGTTTGATGATCCGCCTGGTCTAACTGAACCCCCGAAATCTCCGTTACCGACTAAAGCGCAACTAGCAACAGTCAGAATAGGCGAAGATGATAATATTGAGGAACCAGCCGATGATGAAGCTGTGGAACGAATGCGTCGACAGCGCGAAGCTCGCGCTCAGGCCTTAACACTTGAGATGGTCGGCGATCTACCCTTTGCTGAGGTCAAGCCGCCAGAAAATGTGCTCTTTGTTTGCAAATTAAACCCAGTTACGACTGATGAAGATTTGGAGCTCATATTTTCTCGCTTTGGCACTATTCTTTCATGCGAAGTCATTCGTGATAAACGCACCAATGACTCCCTTCAGTATGCTTTTATTGAATACGAAGAACAAGCATCCTGTGAACAAGCATACTTTAAGATGCAAGGTGTCTTAATTGACGACCATCGAATCCACGTCGACTTCTCTCAGAGTGTGAGTAAACTGAGTGACAACTGGCGATCGGTTACAAATTCAAAAAGGAAATCTCGAGGCGGTGGTTTTGGGGGTGTGAGTGGTCTAGAGAAGAAAAGACAGTACAAAAGTGGAGTAGAAAGAAAGGGGAGAGAGAAGAAAGATAGATATGGTATGATTATAGATGAAGAGGAAATGAGGAAATGGCATGAACGTGGATCAAAAGAAGCGGGATCTCGGAGGGAATCTAGCCGCTCAAGGAGCCCTCAAGCTCGTGACAGTGGACACGGTCGAACAGAGGGTAGAGAATATAGGGCGAACGGTAGTGTTCGAGAAGAAAGGCATGACCTAAACCGTAGGGATAATTTCTCTAAAAATGATTGGTAAGTATTCCCTCTAGACTGCCAATCGATACTCTGGCTGTTCAATATTTGAGGCGCAAGTCTAGTACAGTTATGGCAATAGCTCATCATTAGATTTGCCCTCTTGAAGTCAATACGAGCCTGTGACTAGTCTGTCGTATGCAGCTATCCACTACTAGCCTGTCATTATCCTCCGGCCTACTTTTTGCCTTTCTTTAATTTCGAGACTTGAACTGGATCCGTCGCACGACCACCCAAGACGTATCTGACGCCCATTAAGATGTCGACGATTGGAAATCCATCTTCGCGCTCCTTGCACCTATCAGCTAGAATGTGACCTGGATTTCCATTCCAATATTTATCCCTGTTATTATCTCTCTGGAGATTTCCATCAGTAAAACCATTACTTTCATGCAGGCTACCAACGCCATTTATCCCACTGTGAAAAGAGCTGCGCCTTTTACCAGGTTTGCTCACCAAAGCAGCGGAACTTTTCCTGTTAGACAATTTTTTGGTCGATTTGCAAGTTCTTTTGCTAATTGTGGTGTTTCCGCGAGGACTTACAGGTTTCAATGGCGACTTCAAGTTTGTGATTAATTGTTTGCCATTTCTTTCATGCCCGCGTGTTACTTGGTGTTGAGGCATTTTCTTCGGAGTTACAGTGCTGTTACGCTCTAGTGCTTTTGAATTATAATTTATGTGTGGAGTTGAAATATCAGGTGGAACCGATAAATTAGGTATGCTTGACACGGTCACTTTTTTGGTAAAAGCGTTCTTACTTTCTTCTAATTTATTTCAATAGCAGGTCATTAATGACTTTTCAAGAGTTACCGTCATTTCTTCAGGTGTTGTTACTTTCGACTTTCGAGATTTGATTCGCGCCAAATTCCTTATTTTTGGGCCCACAAGCCCTTGAGCCTCACTTTTAGCAGTAATCTGGCCTCTTGATTTCAAGGCTCCAGTCTTCCAACTGTTCAATTTTAGCTTCAAAGGCCTTAGATATTTGGTAGATGAGGATTCTTTCTTTGTCACAGCTTCATATTGTTTGAATGATTACATGGGATTAATGTTACTTTATTTTCGCTATCTGAGTTTTCTCCTACACCTGCCTGGTTGTTTTTTTCCTGGATCTCGGCCCCTATACCTAGTATAATCAAGTTCGTGGAAAGTTGCCAATCATCTACTTCTAGATTTCCAGAAAAATTTCGCGAAAAGCATCTTTTTTGCGTGGAATCATGGTCAATTGATATTTTTTGATACTCTATGTATTTAAGAGTTTCGTTATCAAGCTGTAAGCAAATAAGTTTATTTATACTGGGATTGCTATGGTTTTTTTAATATTATGAAGTGACGATCCAAGATTCTCCTTCATATATTTTTCTCCCAATTTAGCCATGGATCCCTCACTTTTATCTTTAAGGTTCAGATGGTTGCAATTTCTACACTGCGTAGGGGAAAACATATTGTTACATGTCAGCTCCTCATTAAATCTTCCCGTTGGGATGCTCTCTGAGGGTGCCTGCATCGAAGCGCCTTGGCTGTGTTGTGTAGATTGAATAAAATTTTGCATAGTTTGAAAAATCGACTCGAAGATATTACTACTATCCATAGATCTACTTGAGACCCCTGAGTCAGGATAGGTAGAAATTCCCGGCGCAGTCTTGACTTTCTTACGACTGCTAAGATACAGGTTTAATGGACCAATATTGACCTTGTCCATTACCATTTGGGAAATCTCATTAAAGTTTGAAGCGGATTCACATCTGTCTGCTCTTTGATAAATTGTTGTCCCTAAAAGAAAGTTTAATGCGCTTAGAGTTCATATCTTCCTGTGAGTCTGCAATAACATGATCAAGATAGCTATCTCCAGGCTTCCCCAGAGTTGATTGGGACTTTCCACAGCCATTGTATGTGATCTTGGAATTATGCGGTTGTGGTTTTTCGGAATTGTGGTTGTCTAGCTCGGTTCCTAGCGAATTTCCCATAGCAACGACCATCTGGTTACAAATTTCACAGTGAGGAATTGCCATGGTTTGAATGGACCCAACTTACATCAACTATTTTAATATCATCGCCGTATAACAAAGAGCTTTGGTACATAGGTACCGTTTTTGTAGAGAGGCGCTCAAAATACTCGCCCATATTGCTTCTAAACATATCATATTTACCCGCTCGACCCCATTTATCTGCTTCGCTAAAAAGGGGTTCATTAGTCTGAGTCCATCTTTCTTCAAAACCTAGTCTCTCCTGGTTTGTGACAGAATCAAAAAATGCCTCTTCCAACGGTTGTATTGCCCATTACTTCTTGCCGGAACTTTCCACGTGGCAGTCGGTGTAAGAATGCCACACTGCATCGGCCCCAAGATCTTGCTCAATCTATTCATGGTAATCTTTGCTCTGATTAAATCGGCCATTAATAAAAGTGTACATGGGAGTTTCCAGCGAACCATCTTTCGAGAGAAACTTGTAAGGTGAATTATTAGTTAATTCAAGCTTAATTCCTATTTTTTCCTTTGGAAATGCTGGCCTCTCCAAAAAGATAATTGAATCGGTGAACAAGCCAACACTTTAGGCAGTAGAAACAACTGAGGTTATCGTCTTGCCACTACCTTTATTTCTATCAGTTAGAAAAGTATACACAGGAAATTGATAATCTTACTCGATCCGCGAACCTTGAATTCGAAACTAGTGTGTGTTTTATTGCACTACTTGAGTCTATGACTATCTAGCACATTGGGCTCCTCTCTGACCCAGGCTACACCTTGCACAGTGCTCCTATCCTCTTTTGTTACTTGAAAGATCATTGATATATTCCCCTTGATGAATAGACATTCAGCTCAGTGTTTACCCGTGGAATTCGGCCACCTTTTCCACGGAACCTTCTAACCAAAAAAAATAAAAATGGTAGCAATGGAAACTGCGTGCGCGGGAAAAAGCCTCAAAAAACCTGCAGTCCCAGCCAGGCGAGGCTTAGACACCGGGACCACACGAGGTGCGCATATTAATCTATATCTCCCTTCTTTACATCAGTCGAGGCCGACTTGATCCAATCCACCATCTCTGTCTCGGGTACTGGGTACGCTCCGGAACTCATCGGATGGCTTTTCCTCCATAATCAAGGGTTGGTGATGAGTAGGGCTCCGACCTTACCATCTGATCTGATCGTGGTTAGCTTCATGATAATGGTGATAGGGGGATGTGTTGTGAGATGAAGACGATACAGATCGCGCAAGCGATTGGGAATCCTCCTCGAAGTGAGGACTTGTTACTCAATCTCGGCTCTGCGGACTCTACAGTGAGAGCTGGAGGTTCGTAGGGGACACCACTGACAGGTGTTGAGAATAGTCCCCAAATTCGGAACTAGTATTTGGATGGTTAAACGCAGGAGCTGGGGTGGGAGAGGACACAAATTTCAAATTTTTTCGACTCTATATTTGCTTCTATGATATCAAATTCAGTCAAGTCTTCTGTACACTGAAGATATTTGCATACCATATGTTGATTATTTTGTTTATTAAGTACGGCCAGCTGCGTAGAGGCTTCATTTAGATTGGGAGATATGTAATCCTGAGTTTCCTTTCCAGCATTTACATGGTAAAATGGATAATTACTTGAGCTTAGGAAGCCAACTCCATCTTGAGTGTCGAAGTATTCTTCTTCTAAAATTTTCACCACTCCATCATCTTGTGTGCTGGTAGCCTGAACTCTACCAGAGGAAGAGATATTTTTAGGCTTCCACAGACATATTGAGATCTTGACCCCAAGAGTCCGATATGCAGGCATGATTCTATTCAATTAAATGTAACATATTATCTGAATATGATAGGGCCCTATCTTGGGTCAAAGTTAAGCAGACGGATGGCTTCAAAGATAAGCTGCCACAAACTCGACAAATCACTTGTGTCACGGTTCGAGGTATAGATGCTGGGGCGATCAAATATACGAAGGTTGTTTATTATTTTCTCTATGGCTATCTATGTACGTCCAACTTCAACTATTTATTCGCTTACTATTCTATCTAGAATATTCTTGACTAATACCAGTTTCTAGTATTTTCCCCTGAGGCTGGTTCGCAGTCTTACTACTAGTTGCTAGAAATTTCTAGTGATGTCCAGATTAATCTATGATAGAATAGTGGTTTCGTAAAGTTGTGAAGCACGTGATTAACATCATGTGCCACAGGGTAATTACCGGCTCACTAGCCGTTACAATTCCCCTCCTCCTCCATGCATTACGTAAATGCGTGTAGCTGATTTCAGTTTGAAAGAAACACTCCAAAGTTGTGGCCCAGATAATTTTGTTAGATTTTTTTTTTTTTTTTTTTTCATTTTGCTTTATCCCCGTGGCTGCGGAATCTGTTACTCCGGTTCCGACGTCTGCGAAGGGTCCCTGGTTCGGCTGGTCCAACAAACGCTCCGACACTATCTTCTGGCGGACCGTCATTTGTCGCAATCGGTCCATATTTTGCTTCGAAATCATCAAGGGCTTTGGCTTCCTCGATAAATTCCACCGGCTCCCATGTCGGATTTGCTTCGCTTACCCACTTTACTAGTGCTTGTCGATATTTTCCACGGCCACGACGAACAGTTCTCGCACGTAGAATTGACTCCACCTCGTATTCGGGCTGCTCCAAGTCATCTATTATGGGGGGGTTTTGAGCATCATCTCTAAATTGACTTGGAAATGGATCTGAGCCGGCTCGCTTTACTAATTCCACATGGAATCGTTTATGGATATTTCCCGGCACGTTTAGCTCAACTGTAAGTGCATCAGGGACAGCAGTCACTTCATATTTTGCATGTTGCCATGCTAACTTCTTCGATAGTTGGGGAGTTTTTATATGACGTAGATCCAACCAGACCTTATCTCCAACTCGGAATTTTTCGGGCTGTCGGCGTATTAAGTTTCCATTGGCTTCATAACGTTGCTGCGCAGACGCCATTGCTGCTTGAGCAAAATCTTGGGCGTCCTTTAGTCTTTGTACAAATTTCATTGCTGAGAGCCGACCCGGATGTCTCGACTTTT